ACAAAAGTAAAGAAAAGGCAGCAGCTATAAGGCTCACTGTATAGTGCTTGATGTATCAGATAGTATTTCCGATATCAGGGAGGTAACCAACCAAATAGGTGCAGATAATATTGGTTTGTAGTGTGATCAGGGAGCTTGCCAGAAAATGAAGTGATTTACCAAAGGGAGAACTACAGAAAAAAAACTGAACTAGTTGTACAGATGTTAGGGAAAGAGTGAAGATGTTAGAATATGGAGAGAGTAGTGATATTAATGCTGGGAATGTGGATATTGGTGAGTGAAACGTTTGTGTGTTGAGGACCGGTAAAAGCTGCAGTACAAAAATGTAGAAAAGGTGTGGGCTGAGAGGATGGCACACTCAAAATCCTACAGCAGTGTAAAATTAGTTTTAACCTCTGTTTTACTACACAGGAAGGGATTGAGACTATTGTGCTGCGATTTGGCTGATCAGGTCTGATTACTCGCAAACATATCAATGGGTATACGAGCGCTAGGTAGTGCAGGCAAAAAGCAGCTGACATGAAGGCAAAACCTCTTAACCTTCATAACATCTCATATACATATGCAGCGCTGAAGACCAAATAAACATTGAATATAAACAGATTAATCTTGCGCTGCGGAGTGCTAAAACTATATAAAAGTGCGATGAACGTCTGCGGACATTAACTGTACAGGTAGTGACCTTTATAATAACTAAACATGAAAAAGCAAATAAGTCCCAAGCTCTATATTGAGGTGAAAATCGCGACTCCAGTGATGTAAAAATGAGTGTACATTGCACTAACCAGACAGCGCAATGTTATGCGCATTTGAGTAATTAAACCACTCCTGGTCCTCTGGATATGGAAAGATGAAAATCAAAGGATCATCTGGCCAACCAAGCGAAAGACAGGTAATCAAATGGTCATCATTCTCCAGGAATCAGGAACACTCATCCATCCAGCAGGGGGATCACTCTCCAGGTAACAGGTATCATGTACAACCACCAGGGGGGTCACTCTCAATAATAGATGCGGAGCAGGACAAGAATCCACCTTAAGGAAGGGGGGGGGGCTCGCAATAAACCGAGCCCAAATAGAAAATGCTAATAGTGTAGTATGTTTTATTAATTTCCAAGCAAAGATATATCCAGGTACAAGCACTCACATTGGTGTGACAGTAGTTAAGATGGCCGCTGGCCTGACACGTGGCCTGTGCGGTGTGACGTCACCACCCTTGCTCTTCCCTAATACGTTTCGTGCCCGAGTACTTTTTTTTTTTCCTGATAACGTGCTCTACAGCGAAAGATTAATCTGTTTTATATTCAATGTTTATTTGGCCTTCAGCGCTGCATATGTATATCAGGTCTGATTACTCAAATGTAGACACTGCTAAAGCCCAGAAGTATATAATGTTTAACTTTACAAAGGAGCAGATTTCTCCAGTTAAAAAAAAGTAAGCTGTAATCCTGCCTAATACTATACAGTAGTATACCTCAAAATTATAGCATTTCATAGATTCTGCACCACATAGATTTCAGTAATCAGCAGCAATAAATGACAAGGTCTAACTATAGTATACTGTGCCAGATAAAGTTCTTTAGTCTTGTTCTGCCACCAGTTTTGCAGAATAGGAACCTATATTGACAGCATACGGCAAGACTATACAGTATATATGCTGCTGTTTATTGCTCTGACTTTTATGTTAAGCTTTGTAGCAATTCCTCCACAGGACGGTGTAAGGACCTTTGTCTGCTTAGGCGAAGGTGCATTTTGCCTTGCTCCCACAACAGCAGTGTGTAATGAGGGGGCGAAGTTGTGCATTCTCTGCCTTCCCTCGCTGGCTATGGGCAGCTGGCAGGTGAGGCCTGAGGATTACTTAAAAAACCCCAAAAATTAAATATTTCTGAAAGCAGACACTGTAGAAAACAAAATGTTTGTACTTCCATTTTTTCATGTTACATGATATTAGTGCAGCGGTTTATGAAATGCAGAATTTCAGTAGAAAATGCACTAAAGCAAATTTTAGGACACATAAATACATAAAATTAATACATTTATTGGTTTAATCTAAAGATGAGGTGTGCCGAGTAAATATCCAACATGTTAAACATTAAAAAATAAACCCCTACATTTTAGAGCCACTCAGCCCCCCCCCCCCCCCCCAAGTGTAAGGCAATCGCAGGCGCAAAGGTGCTTGCATTATTTTGTGTGTGCGTGTGTGTTTCTAATTTTTTTTTTTTCATGTCTCTTTAACCTTTTCACTGCCAGGTCCGCACGCCGTACGGACCTACAGCACTGCTTCCAGCAGGCGAGGACCTCCATTCCTCCTCTGCTATAAGCTCATGGTCACTTCAGTGACCATGAGCTTATGGTAAAATTGTTCAGACGCTGCTGAGCAAGCAGATAGCTCTGATTAGCGGCTAACAAGCCGCCGATCAGAGCTATACACCTCAAATGCAATAACCTCCCTCCACGAATGTCTTCACCTCCTATCCTTCCCTGTCTCTAGCCTCACCTCCTACCATTCTTTTTTTTTTTTTTTTTTTAAATGCCGCTAGTTTTCCCGTTTTCCCCCTGTCCACGATATGCCCCCAACCAGCTCACATACCCGATCCCCTGCGTCCGCCGGTTTCTCTCACCGCCCAACCTCCACCCCCCCCTCTGGCCCCTAACTTACTAATCCTGGCTGGTTGCTGGGTGGTGTTCCCTCCTCTCCTTTCCGCTGTTCCAGCACTTGGAGAAGCTGTGGCAATGGAGAGCGCGGGGAAGGCGGCCTGGTAAACGTGCTTACTGATCACTCCTGTATCCATTGATAACTGAGCATAGTAAGCTTGTGCTTACTATGGGTCAGTTTATGAATGAAAAGGAGGCTCTATACAGACTCTTCATTCATTCATGTAATGTGCAGCGTAGGCTGTCTTCAGTCCCTTTCTCTGTCTCAAAAAAGAGATATCAGGGTCTGTTTAGATCTTTGATATCTCACCAAAAAAAAGTACAAACAAATAATGATAATTAAAAAACAAACAAACATAGTAAGGCCTTGTTTACACAGGGAATACACAGCGTATGCTCTTCAAGGCCTTGTCTACTGGCATAGGGATGCGCAGGTTTTCTGAGCATCCCTGTGCAGGCAATCCTGTTGATGTCATTTGGGATGTAACAATTGCATGAACACAGCCGTTGCTCCCAATTTGACATCCATGTGGGTCCCGGTTCTTGTCCCTGAGCTCACACTGTTTACATTCAGGGTCGTGTACAAACACCCACACAGGTGTTAGATTGGGAACAGTGGCTTTGCCATTGCATCCCAATTGATATGAATGGGATTGCCTGCACAGGATTGCACAGAACTGGGCATCTCCATGTGGGTAAACACTGCCCATCATGGGCATACTTTTTTTTAATACGCCCCATGTAGTAGTAATTTAGCAGGAATTTAAAAAATTTAGGTTATGCACTAATTAATGATTTTCGTGTATTTTTAGTGAAAATTGCTATTTGATGAACATTTGCACAACTACCTTAAAAAAAAAAAAAACAAAAAGATAAAAAAACTCAGTAGCACATTTTTTATTCTACAGGTCATGTGCTTTCAGAAAATGTATGGTTTGGGGAGTCCTTTCACATTCTGAAAGCTGTAAGTGAAAAAATGTCAACCTCCAGATTTTGAGACTAAATTATTTTTAATTGCAGTTTTGTGCACATTTCGTTTTCATCATTTTACGAAAAGGCACAATTCACAATTTACAAATATTTGTTTTTATTTACCTCAATACAGTTTAACTTTTATACTTAATAGGGACTTAGCAGGAATTTTGAAAATTTTGCCATGTATGTATCTGCTAATAATGGTTTTGGATCTTAACTGAAAATAGCTGTTTAATGAACATTTGCGCAACTCTTGCTGGGCCTAAAAAAATCAATAGCACATTTGTTTTATTCCATAGGTAATGTGCTTTCAGAAAATATATGGTTTGAGGGGGTCTTTTACAAATTCTGAAAGTTGTGTGTGACATATGATAACCTCCAAATTTTTTAGAGTAAATTTATTTTTTTTTTTTTTCAGTTCTACATATCTATCTTTTTTCCCATTTCACAAAAAGGCGCAATTTAAAATTTACAAGTATTTGTTATTTTTCAACTCAATACAGTTTTAACTTTTATATTTAGTAGGAATTTAGCAGGAATTTTATAAATTTTGCCATATATGTATCCACTAATAATGAATTTAGTGTATTTTTAACAAAAATAGTGTTTTGATAAACATTCACACAAGTATCACAGGGCCTAAAAAAAATCAGTAGCACCTTCCTTTTTATTTTACTGGTCCTATGCTTTCAGAAAATATACGGTTTTGGGGTCTTTCACAAGGTCTGAAAGCTGTAAGGGAAAAATAAAAACATCTAGATTTTCAGAGAAATGCATTGCATAGTGCTGTGAGTACACAAATATGCAGCCTCTCGGCGGGTGGTCCTTGACACAGAGAGGCCACATATTTGCATACCAAAAGGTAAACAAACTTTGTGCCAAGAGCATGCTCCCGACACAGGTATCTGTGCCTAACGGAAAGCTCTTGATCATGTGACCACTGTGACAGCCAATCACAGCGGTCACATGATTATAAAACCCTGCCCCCCTACCGACTGTAGAAACCCCTTAAGGGGTTGGGAGGCGCTGGTGTGAAGGGTTGCTAGAGAGCTGTGACTTAGCAAAGAGGCTACAGGAGCCTGTATGCACTGGTACTGTTAGAAGGGCTAGCAAAAGAAATAGCATAATTGACTTTAATGGTAGGATTTCTAGCTAAGTTATTATTGGCGTATATTTAGTTTCACATCTTTAAGGCTGGAAGTCATTAATATTGCAATGTATGTGAAAATGAATTACACTTTGCAATTCCGAAAACTTCTATTGAAGGAAAACCAGTTTCATGCTGTCTGAATGTATCATAAACTTCACACTGTCTTTTATGACCATTTGTTTCTATATTGTTTTAGTCTTATACTGATTAATTTCTTACAGGGGTCAGATGATTTCTGGAGATGACTGTGAATTTATTTTAAGGTTTGAAAAATCCAATGCAGAAGAAAAGAAAGCAATACTAACAACTGAAGGCAATCAGGTAGGATTTATTTAATCAACTGTTATAGCTGTTAGGAGTCACATAAAATTGAAGTTGCCTGTAATGTTGAAGATGTTTCATCAGTTAAAATGGGTGTTCAAAACCTACACCATCATTTTATGCCTACATGAACACCTTGACCCTATCCTAATGTTTAAAACGTGAACTAGCTCATGGTACCATGAACTAACCATGCCTAAACTGGTTTGCTGATCTTTGTCTTTGCGCTATAAACTAAAAAAAAAAAAAGACAGACAATTTTGAAAAAAAAAAAAACCCCAAAACAATATTTTTGACGTTTTGCCATTAACTACTTGCCTACTGGCACTTATACCCCCTTCCTGCCCAGGCCAATTTTTAGCTTTCAGCGCTGTCGCACTTTGAATGACAATTGTGTGGTAATGCAACACTGTTCCCATATGAAATTTGTATAATTTTTTTCACACAAATAGAGATTTCTTTTGGTGGTGTTTAATTGCTGCTGGGTGTTTTTTTTTTTTTTTTATGCGCTATAAAAAAAAAAAAAGTAAAAAAAAAAAAAAGTTTTTCTTTGTTTCTATTATAAAATTTTGCAAACAGGTTATTTTTCTCCTTCACTGATGTTCGTTGATGAGGCTGCACTGCTAGGCAGCATTGATGGGCACTGATAGCACTTATGAGGCGGCACTGATGAGGCTGCACTGATATGCAACAATGATGGGCACTGATGACTGATGGCACTGCTGGGGTACTGACTGGATGGCACTGCTGGGCCCAGGTTGGTGGCACGGCTGGGCACTGATTATAAGGGCACTGATCATCAGTGCCCTGATGATCGGTGTCGATCAGTCCTCTGACAATTGCAGGTTGTGACAGCATGAGGAAAGTGCAGCTGATAACTGGCAACTGCATTTACTGATCTGTGTCATTGGTTGATCACGTGGTAAAAGGTCGCTGTGATTGGCCTTTTCCCACATCACGTGATCAGCTGTGTCCGTAGGACACAGCGATCATGGAGATCGCCGGGTGCTTGCAGGAGGGCATGTTCTGGGAGGATGTCATATGACGCCCTCCCAGGACTGGACAACCCGCGCTGTAGCCGTCATTTGGCTATAGCATGGTTGGCAAGTGGTTAAACATGTCCAATAAAAAAATTTTAAAAATCAAATTTCGCCATAAATTTAGGAATAAATGTATCCTGCTACATGCCTTTGTTAAAAAAAATCCCAATACATGTAAATTAATTGGTTTACGTGAAAGTTATAGCATTTGCAAATGGTAGTATGTATACTGGAATTTTTTTTTTTTTTTTTTTATGCTAGTAATGGTGGCAATCATCGACTTACAGCGAGACTGCGACGGGAATTCTGACATTGGGTGGGAACTCACTGACATCTCCAGTGACACTAATACAATGATCAGTGCTAATAAAACACACTGACACTGTACTAATGACACTGGGCAGGAAGAGGTTAACTTTTGGGCGATCAAAGGGTTAACTGTGTACTGTGTGTGTTTTTACTATGTGTGCTGAGTGTTGTTTTACCTTGGAGACCTGCTGTTTTGTATTTCCTTGCTGGCAGGAAAGAAAACCGTTGTTTGCAAGCTCTCCCTTGGCAGCTTTGTGGAAAATCGCTGGGTGCCAGCAGGGAATCTCCATCTGGGACTCAGTGATTTATATGCCTTGCCGCCAATAGCGGCGTGTATAGGGTGGCGTGCGTGCGCTCACTACCCGGAAATGCAAATATACGTGATTTTGCGCAGACCTGCCGCCTTGTAGCAGTAGTTCTACTATAGGGTGGCGGGGAAAGCGGCTAAAGTGGAACTTCACCCAAAAACAAATCGGCACTTTTGTTGGGGGGGGGGGGGGGAGACAGGTACCTGGCTTTGACAAGTACCCACTGCTACTTCCGGTTGGATCTCTTTGGCGATCCAAGTAGAAGTCCGGCCTCTCCTCCTTCCCCCGCAGCCTTCTGGCACACATCGTCCCAGAAGATCATTCACAAAGCACAGCCTACGCATGTGCAGTGGGAGAGGCTTCACAGTGGTTCCCTTTAGTTAGGATGCTGGCGTCTGGACCCGAAGCCAATTAAAGAATCGGCTTGGATGAGGACAGCACTGGATCCCTGGACAGGCAAGTGTCCAAGTGTCCTTATGTTAAAAGTCAGCAGCTACAGTATCTGTAGCTGCTGATTTTTATTTTTTTTTGTTTTGATGGAGGGGTGGAAACTAGAGACTCTTTTTTAGTAAATTCCTTTGAATGTAGCTGGCTACTAATAGCTATTTCATGAACTGAATACATGAAAACCTACAGATAAAGCTATGGTAGAATGGTTCTGTGGAGAACGTCTTCTTACCTAGAAGTAAGACTTGTTCCTATAGTTTTGGTCTGTTTTTGTCCAGCTGGCCAATTTGAACACACTTGCTAATTGAAAAACAGTTGGCGATCGGGTTTTTACTGTCTATTGGAGTAGTTAAAAATCTACTGTTTTTAAAGCAGCCTTTTTTCAACCAGGGTGCCTTCTGGGTTCTTTAGGGAAGTCTTAACAAAATACCTAAAAATGGCTAGGAATTGCCCAAAATTGTCAACAATCCAGCCTGCCTTTTTGTTGCACAAAGCCAGAGGTTTTTGTGAAGCATTACAATGACACATTGGTTAATAAGGATGATGTTGGGCTCCTGCACAGCATTTTTGTTTGTCCATCCTCTGCCCCTCTCAACCCTGTCAACACTGGGGTTGTGTTAGCTGAGAGAAGAAGAGAAACTGAGGGAGAAGAGAAATGCTAGAACATTAATAAGTACCAGTTTGCAAAGATGGAGGAATAGATTACCACTAATGTTGGGTGGCCCACATGTGTGGATGCTGCTGGAAGATATGTAAAACTATTATTTTAGTTTTTTACATTTTAGAGTGGGGTGCCTTGAGATTGTGCATAATTTGTAAAGGGTGTCTTGACTGAAAAAATTTTGAGAAACACTGGTTTAAAGGACAACCATCAAATGTAACTTCATAATTTTTAGGATTCATTGGACACGCATTTTTCCAAGGGCTGTCTGACCTGCTCAATCCCACCCACCCTGAAGCTAAGCCCCATTTTCAGCTATTTGGCTGCTGAAACTCACGTGGTACTGCTGAATGATGGAAGTAGGATAGATTTCTGAAGTCCCATACAGCATTAGGGCTTTACAAATGCATAAAATTAAATATTGAAGATTAACAAACATTGCAGGCATGACTAACTGGCTGTACTTTTACCTTGATGCTAGTTTGGTCTATCAGCCTAACCGGTTCATTGAAGCAGTCACTGTGTCATGTTTAAAGGGACATCCATCCAATTCTGCAATCCTAGTTTTTTTTTATTGCATTTAATTACATTTAATTGGGCTTAATTGCATTTTTTTAACATAAGTTTAACCAGTGATGCAAAAAAGTTTGAAATTACTGAGCAGTTCGTAATATAATGTACATAATGTTATTTTAGGAGTCTCAAATGTTGTTACATGCAAACATTTTTTATCAACCTTTTAAGCATTTTGTTTTTCTTTACAGTGTGCTAAAACCTTTATTAACTTGATGACCCACATTTCAAAGGAACAGACAGTGCAGTACATTTTAACCATGGTGGATGACATGCTGCAGGTAAGGAGTATGCAAGATTAAAACTGTCCTTTCGCTGGTTTGTCCCTTTTTATTTTGACTACTCCTATCTGCTGACCTGATCAATCACTGTTTTTGGTAGAAATGATATTTCTACATGGCAAATAATTTACTAGCAGGCGTAGTAGAGTAATAGAAATCCAACAGACCCAACAGTCATGACATGCAGCTGCTGATTCTGTCTAATTGAATCACGAATTGAAAGGGGCATGTTCAAAATAATAGCAGTGTGAGTTCTATTAGTGAGGTCATTCAATCTTTGAAAAACAGGTGGCAATTATTGCCTTTATTTAAGGAAGGAAGGCAGCAAATGTTGTACATGCTGGTTACAGTGCATTTCTCTCTGAAATTCTGAGGAAAATGGATCGTTCCAGACATTGTTCAGAAGAACAGCGTACCTTCATTAAAAAGTTGATTGGAGAGGGAAAAACATATAAAGAAGTGCAGAAAATGATAGGCTGCTCAGCTAAAATGATCGCAAATGCTTTAAAATGGCAACCAAAACCTAAAAGACATGGAAGAAAGCGAAAAACTACCATTCGAATGGATAGAAGAATAGCCAAAATGGCAAGGACTCAGCCAACAATCAGCTCCAGGAAGATGAAAGAATGTCTAAAGTTACCTGTGAGTACTGTTACAATTAGAAGACGCCTATGTGAAGCCAAGCTATCTGCAAGAAGCCCCCGCAAAGTCCCACTGTTGAAAAAAAGACGTGCTGAAGAGGTTACAATTTGCCAAAGAGCACATTGACTGGCCTAAAGAGAAATGGCGCAACATTTCTGTGGACTGATGAGAGTAAGATTGTTCTTTTTGGGTCTAGTGGCCGGAGACAGTTTGTCAGACGACCCCCAAACACTGAATTCAAGCCACAGTACACTGTGAAGACAGTGAAGCATGGTTGCGCAAGCATTATGATATGGGGATGTTTCTCATACTACGGTGTTGGGCCTATTTATCGCATACCAGGGATCATGGATCAATTTGAATACATCAGAATACTTGAAGAGATCATGCTGCCTTATGCTGAAGAGGAAATGCCCTTGAAATGGGTGTTCCAACAAGACAACGACCCCAAACACACCAGTAAACGTGCAACATCTTGGTTCCAGACCAACAAGATTGACGTTATGGAGTGGCCAGCCCAATCCCCAGATCTTAATCCAATAGAAAACTTGTGAGGTGACATCAAAAATACAGTTTCTGAGGCAAAACCAAAAAATAGAGAAGAACTGTGGAATGTATTCCAATCATCCTGGGCTGGAATACCTGTTCACAGGTGCCAGAAGTTGGTTGACTCCATGCAACACAGATGTACAACAGTTCTCAGAAACAGTGCTTATACAACTAAATATTAAGTGATTCAAAGGAAAGCAAAATCTTCAAACATTGTTTATATAGTGAATGTTTGAGTTTGTAAAGAAGAATTCAAACACCGCAATTTTTTTGAACAGTCTAATATTCACTTTTCTTCAATTTTTTTAGAGGAACAACACAAATTTGATACATTTTTCTTCATGTTTTGATTTGGAATAGAATGTGTAGTGTTCCCAATGCATTTGTGTGTTATGGAAATAAAAGCTATTAGAAGGATTTTGAGCTTTATTCACTTTTTTCAAAACACTGCTATTATTTTGAACACAACTGTATATACAGTATTTTCTGGCGTATAAGACTACTTTTTATACTTAAAAATATACTCCAAAAATTGGGGGCTGTCTTATACGCGGGGTATAAAATGTGAACCTTGAGTTTGTTTGGGTCAAGCTGGCTGGATGTGTGGTAATACTGTACATACAGTATACCGTGCTGAGCCAAGCTGGCTCAAAACAAATGTCCCTATGACAGATTAATCTGTGAGCCAGCTGGATGTGTGGTATATACAGTATACTGCGCTGAGCCAAGCGTTTCAAAGTGTACCGGTACGTCCCTACTGTAATCAGCCCGCTGGATGCGTGTATGTATGGTAGCTGCGTCTACATACAGTATACACTGCGCCAATCACGGCGAGTGATGTATTCTACTGAGTCAGAGAGGTGGGCTGATGATATCACAACCTCAGCCAATCCGAGCAGGCTTTGTATTCATTAGTAGAATACATCGCTCGCCGTGATTTGCCCAGCGTATACTGTATGTAGCCTCAGCTACTGTACCGTAGAGAGGTACCGGTATGTTTGAAACAGCTTGGCTCAGTATACTGTATGTACCACAGTGGTATATACTCAGTATACTGTATATACCACACATCCAGCGGGCTGACAGATTAATCTGTCATAGGGACATTTGTTTTGAGCCAGCTTGGATCAGCGCGGTATGCTGTGTGTACATTACTGCACATCCAGCGGGCTGTATATATACTGTATACTGTATGTAGCCGAAGCTACCGTATTACCACAAACCAGCGTTAACATCTGATTTGGAATTTGATCCATATGATGACTGTCTTACAAATGTATCACAAGATGTCATTCGTGAACTTATGATGTCAGAGGATAAACATGAGGATTTTTAAGGATTTAAGTACTGGTAAGTCATAACCATTTCAATTAAAAAATCTGATGTTTTTAAATGGTGTTGCCTCGGAAGTGTGTTAGACTTATACGGTGAGTATAGCCCAATATGTTTTAACTGGAAAATTTTGGGGGTCATCTTATACACCCAGTTGCCTTATACGCGGAAAATACGGGTATATATTTATCCAGTGCACACATATTGGATAAAAAAAAAATGGGCCTGTGTGAGCAGGAAAGCCTATAGTGCATATCGCCCGAAAGAGAGAATGTGTCACTCAAGGGTCTTGAGAGGTGAACGCACAGTGAAGATTTTATTTTGATAAAGTACAAGCTCAGGTCCTGAGGAAGACTAGCTTGTGCCTCGTTGAAATAAAATCTTCATTGCGCGTTCACCTCGCAAATACCTGCGAGGGCCGATTTTTCTTTTGGGGGGAAAAATAAATATATGTGTGTATGTGTATTTACACACAGTTAGCCCTGCATTTCTGTCAGATAATGCACCACTTTGCTCAGAAAATGGTTGCATTTACAAATGTTTAGGCATTCTCATGTTTATTTCTTTTGTTTGTATTGGTATGACACAAAAAATGGAGAAACTAAAAGCCAGTACTGACACATTCCACGCAAAACTTCAGGAATGTTCTGGACAAAATTATTGGTACCTTCTCAATATTGTAAGAAATAATTGCATTCCAAGTTTGTGATGCTCCTGTAATTTGTAATAAAACTCATCTGCAACCAGTTAAAATGGTGAAAAATCGATTCAACCTTTCTGTTGTGTTTCTTTGTGTGCCACATGGAGAAGAGAAAGAGCAGCAAAGAATTGTCTGAGGATTTGAGAACATAAATTGTGGAAAAACATGAACAATCTCAAGGTTACAAGTCCATCTCCAGAGATCTTAATGTTCCTATATCCACTGTGCGGAACATTGTCAAGACGTTTACAGCCAGTGGCACTGTAGCTAACCTCCCTGGACGTGGACGAAAGAGAAAAATGAATCAAAGATTGCAATGAAGGATTGTTTGAATAATGGCTAAAGAACCTCGATCAACTTCCGAACAAATTCAAGTTGATCTTCAGGCACAGGGTACAACTAAGTCTGCTAGCACTATACATCGCCATCTGAATGAAAATGAACGATATGATAGGAGACCCCACTGCTGACACAGAAACATAAAAAAGTCAGATTGGAGATTGCCAAAATCTACCTGAGGAAGCCAAAATCCTTTTGCAAGAATTTGTTGCGTACAGACAAAACAAAATTACAACTCTTTGTTAAAGCCCATCATTCTACTGTTTGCAGAAAAAGTCCAGTGTGAAATGCATGGAGGCTTGAGCTGTACATGTCACTCCCAGTTCCTCTGTCATTATATCTAGTTGCTGGAATGCACTCCAGCCATGAGAATAGCCGCGGTGTAAGGAGAGGGATCCCCCTAGTGAGCTGTTTGGGTTGTTGCTCCCTGTGGCACTATTTTAACACGTGAGTGCATTAGAATATATTCCTTTTAATATTTTTAATAAAAACTTGCTGCACTATGATTACTTTTCTGGGCTCTTTCCTGAGATATTGGCTGAGAATGAAAGAGGTGGTTTAGTGTTACTTGAGTGGAAGAGGTCTGAAGGATTCTGCAGGACCAGGCATTGATTTAAATACATACAGGAGCTGTGCTTTTATGCTTACTGGCTACTTTGTTTTCCGCATTAATCTGGTGAGTTCTTATTTTGGCTATAAATGGTGGTGGATCACATTTGGAGTTGCGAGATGTAGTTACCAGTTGAACTGTAACATCAGATTGGTGCTTAAGAATTTTTCACTTCACTATTTTTGGACTATATGATATTTACTAATTTATGTATGTGTTATTTTACATGGTATGCTGTTCTTTGAATTATTATCACGTCTTATTTGGCCAGCACCTACTTTTATTCTCCCCACATAAAGAAACATAAAAAAGCTAGATTGAAGTTTGACAAAACTTACCTGAGGAAGCCAAAATCCTTTTGGGAGAAAAAGCAAAATTGCAGCTTTTTGGTAAAGCCCATCATTCTACTGTTTTCAGAAAAAGCAATGAGGTCTTTAAAGAAAAGAATACAGTCACTACAGTCAAACATGGTTGGGGTTCACTGATGTTTTGGGGTTGCTTTGCTGCTTCAGGCACTGGGATGTATTGACCGTGTGCATGGAATTATGGAATCTGAAGACTACCAAAAAATTCTGGGGTGCAATGTACTGCACAGTGTCAGAAAGTTGGGTCTTCATCAGAGGTCATGGGTCTTACAGCAGGACAATGACCCAGAGCACACATCAAAAAGCACCCAGAAGTGGTTTCAGACAAAGCTCTGGAGTGGACTGAACTGGCCAGCGACAAGTCCAAATCTCAATCCCATAGAGCAATGTATAGAGATCTCAAATCAGCAGTTGGGAAAAAGATCACTTCCAGTCTGGGAGACCTGGAGCAGCTGGCGAAAGA